TTACAGTGTGCTGGAAAGACACTGCATGCTGCAAGTGTACGTTCCTGGCCTGTCAACACCGGTACGCAGCGTGTGACATTGTCCCGGCATGCTGGGGCTCGCCAAAAGAAGCCGTCCTTGCCGCACACTGTGTACTGTTGATTTCGCATGTCTCGCAACATCGAGAATGCTGAGCATCTGTCCTGGCATGTTGCCACCAGGGAACCACCAACATTCTGCGGCACGTCGAGACGCACAGCACATCCCCGGGCTAATAGCGAGACGAATGACGATGTGACCAGTGGTACGGGCCTCAACTCCCTCGGTATCCTGGGTGACCTGCAAGCACAAGCACTCAACATGTCTCGAGCCAGCTCAATGATGAACGCTGTGCTCATGCATCCGCAGGTCCACTTTCAATCGAGTGGTGCAAATACAAGTGCTAGTCTGCTAGTGGCATACATATGTACATCGTCCAAGCCAACACATATGGAGCCTACAACCACGGCCTGCACATAGGTCTGCATGTTGTTGCTCTGCACAAAGCGGGTCTCGCGACCTCATGTATAATAAGGATGTAGCGCGCCGGGCAGTTCGCTTAGACATGCATGTGCTGGTTCTTCGGCTAGGACCCAGAAAATGTTTAGTCTGCACTTGGACCGATCATAGGGGCGTCAACCCAGTGCAACATGGCAATGTGCAAAAACTAACTGGTGCCTTCTGTGCATGCCTGCGGCGTGCCGATAGCGGCTGTAAAGCAGGGGCATACCGAGCAGTACGTGTCATGACAATCTCGCCAAGACCCAAGACGGAATGGAATCAGACTATGCTTTCTGCATAGACGGTCTTCCAAGCATGTCAACTGTCGACGCAGTTCGCTGCAACCTTCGGCCCTTGGGTTTTACAGTCTTCATGACTCCTCTGCACGTCCATGACGTGTCGTATGATGCTTGTACGTGCTTGAAGGGTCACGACTGTCATGGCCTGGAAGCGCTTGATGTGAGTCAGTTGCGGTTTCAACTGCGAAAAGCCTTTGTTTTCGTCCACATAGGTGTGGCATCGTTTGGCTTCGCAAGCAGACAAGTAGGCCTGCAAACAAAAGGCCGGAGACCCGGAGACATCCATGCAGTGTGTGCGCAATGTTGATCATCGCAGCACGCGGGTCCCTTCAGCTCAGTTTTTCACAGGTCCTGCCACTGCTTCACACAGGCTTCACAACGAGTCACGAGTCAGGAAATGAGCCCGTGTTTGTCAGACATCAGTTGTTTGGGCACTCCACGTTGAGAGGTACACAGGCTCAAGCCGGCTCTTCCCTCAGACGATTTGTAAGTCTGGTGAGAGTTAACTTTAATGCATCAATCCAGAGGAAGGTTCCAAGATTTCAGCATGTGTTCCACGTGCGCTCATGGGCCATGCAAGGACGGGCACATTCGGATTTACAATCTGTCGGATTCCACACCGGAAGGCACGGAATGTGGATGTGGGGCCATCTTGTTCACCGGTCTCATGACAAGTGCCGAGCAACCCAATCAACCGTGACAACTCAGTGGCAATTACGACGCGCAACATGACAAGGAATCCCCCTGCTACAACTCAGATTTTCCACAACGTGTTTGTCATGTGCCTCATTCAAGGAGGTTGACATTCAAGTTGGAAGCCTTCTAATTGAGAAGGTTGGACGCCACGACCCATCCGGTCAAAGTACAGTAGTTCGGTGTCACTGGCTTGCCGTCAGCTCTTTCTCCAGTCTCTGGTCACCAACCCGAACACCCGACGGATTTGGGATGTGCGGATTCAAGAGCAGCAACAGAAACGAAAGATGCTCGGGCTGCGGGCGCCTGACTCGCGCCCTAGGTGGCAAAACCCGAAACACGAGTCGGAAAGGTTCCACTCCGAACTGGTCACGAGCTAGAACCGCAGCCAACAAGAACTATAGTAAATAATTACAGAGTTTACATCGTGACAACGACGACTTTGCACAAGAGCACAACGAGGAGACATTGCAACTGCTTTCTGGAGTCTTTCGAACGTGCGCAACTCGCAGTGTGGAATGCCAGAACAGATGCTTTGCCAGGCTTGGAAATGTAGCTGAGGCACCAAACGCCGCTTCATTACACTTCAGTCCAAGCCACATGGTCTCAGCCACGACAGGTTCACTGCGCTTAGCTTGTCAAAATACTCTGACGGCTCGTACCTCGGCCAACACTAACTGCAACAGTGCGTAGGGTGCTACAGGACTGGAGAGTTTCTGAGGTTGACGCCATGAGGAGTTGTAAGTTCGATAGAACTCCAAGGGTACACCTGCCAGGGCAGTTCACGAAGCTCTGCCAATTCACGCACCTTGAACTACAGACTTGCCTAAGCAGCAGTCTCCATAAAATTTCTTCTCGTGTGCCTTCTGAATTGATTGCAAAGTCCAAGATCCACTTTGGCAGGTACATTGACTGCGTCCCTGTGTAGCCACTGCCTCGAAACAGACCCGGCTCGGAGGTCTGAAGTGCCCTGGCAACTGAGAGCCGTGCTGCCCAAACTCTTTGGAGCGGTCTCCGGGAAATCCTCGAAATGCAGTTGGCCCAGTTGCGGTAGCATATGGGCACGGAATTTAAAAATATCCATCATGGAGTCCTCCTGAATCTGATCATACCTCAGCGTGGCCCAAAAACGAAAGCGCCAAAACCAAAGACGGAGCCCTCTGCACAGGCTGAGGTCTGTGCTCGCCTCGGTAAAGGCTGACCCAGGCTTCGAGGTAAAGGTGCATTCTCGTGGTCTTCGACCCGCATCCTGGCGTTTCTGATTCCGTCTCTGTGGCTTCGTGATTCGGGATTTCACTCACAGGTAACTCCCGCCACCGTCCTCGGTCCGCAACCTGACTCGGCGTTGTGCACCCAGCCATTGCATAGAATCCATCCACAGAGTTTCCTGCCACACTCTACGCTTCAGCTCACGGTGGACGGTCAGCGGGACATGGTTGGTCCGCACTTTGTCTGGTCCATAGCATTTCTGGAAACTGACCCAGCTTCTGGCAAGGCCGAGCCTCCCGATATCGTCGAACTCACGTTTACTCCGAGCAGCTCTTCAATGATAATCTCCGACACCTGAAAGTTCGTCCCGGCCAAGTCCGGAGCAGCCGATAAGAAGCTCATGCTGACTGCCGGACCGCACTCAACAGACGGGCAACTGGCCTGAAGTTCTTTGTGCACGCAGATCAGGGGAGGCACAGCACCGGCCAACTGTTGCGCTGCTTACTAAAGTGTCTATGCAGATGTGCGGGGTCATGATTCCTTTGTAGCCGTGAGACGCGAGGCAACCGCACCGAAGGCGCGGCGACGGCGACGGCATCGGACAGCGACGACGACGACGGCGACGACAACAAAGCGACGACTTGTTGGTGCTGAATCTCAGACTTTAGGGGTGCGTGGTTGTGCATGAGCGCTATCGGCATGATGGATGGAGGCAGCTTGACGCTTGTCCATCTTGCAGCTCGACAACAAGGCGTGGAACAAGAAGGAGACTAGAGGAGAATTGAGGCGAACCCGGTCAATCCCAATTGGGACACAGGCTACGAGTAAGACAGGCAGATCAAGACGGGAAACAAGACCGGAAAGTTTCCCTGGATGCAATGCATCACGTTAAATCCCGACAAAGTTTCAAAGGTTCTGAGAAGGAATAGAGAAAGCTAAGCTCCGTGGCCAGTCGCCCACAGCCATGCCCAGAGGGAAAACGTCACCATCCTTGAAATGTCTTGAGGCAGAAAGCTCCGGCATTCCCGCTGCACATCGAATAAACCAGATCTCAACATAGCTTCCAAACATGCTCGGTATTCTGACTGGAACTATGTTCATTGCCGCTTATAATTGGAGCAATAAGTGTTCCGAAGCCTTCTCAGTGCGCATGCAGCCTTTGCCAAGACGCGGCGACCACGTTCGCCAAGCGTTGAGGCGGGATGCCATCCTCGAAGCACCGAGCGGCGCTCGCTGCGCTCGCTGTTACTGCAGAGCAGCAAACCAGTGTTGCCAGCGCCTTGGGCATGTCAGGAGAGCAGGGGGATCTGCCCCCTAAACCGCAACCTGTACATCGTTCTTCTGATCTTGTCGGATCTTCCCTGGTCCTAGGCAAACGCTATAATTGCACCACTCAGACAATGCAACTGCAACTTCGGATTTCTGGCTTAGGTCGGGATCTGGACGTTGCCTTTGCTAGGAGAGGCAGCTCTACCTCACCCGAACAGACAACCTGCATCGTCATGTTCAGCACGACAATACCCGACCATAGCTGCAGATCGTTTTGACACGATAAAAAGATTGCAGACAAAAGCTCAACATTCCAAGCACACCGCAAAAACAAAGTAAAGCTGCTCTGTGTGCTCCACAGCGGTTGCAGAGCAGTTGTGTCGTGATATTTTGTAAAGCCCTGGCTGAGCTTGCACTGGCCTCGGCAGGTTGTGTGGCTCAGTGTGCTGGATTTTATCTGGCGTGTTGGCAGCCTGGTGATGGTCCGAGCAACATCAGGAAGTCTACTTTTCGACATGCATCATCCAGCGACTGTGCTGTTCACTGTTGCTTGGACCCGAAACTGCACAGAGAAGCAGCTAACATCAGCTAACGCAACAGCAGAAGCAGCTAACGCAACAGCTGATGGCCATGCATCAAAGTCACGATGTAGGCAATAACACCTGTGGTGTACATCTCCCGCCATTCGGCGGTGCTCGCGCATGGCGCCACTTCTTGGAACCAAAGGGCTCGAATGCCACGTGGTACGACGTAGTATACGAGCAAGCAACTCTGCAATTTCAGCGAGGCACATCGAGGCACGCTCACCCCCAAGACGATACCACAATCACACCCAAATGCAACCAGCAGCCGGCGGATCCTAGGACCAACCGAGTGCATTTGTCTGTTTTTGACCCTGACGCCAGCTCTCACAGGCGGCTGTACGGTCTGAACTTGCCTGAAAGCCTTGTGTAAGCAGTCCGCCATTTAGACCTGCTCGTGCTGCAAGACCACTCACTGGGCCGGCAGTTCTCATGTTCCTTCGGGCTTGTCAGCTGGCTCTTCCGGCTTTCCTTCCGAGGGAGCCAAACTCCTGCAATGGCACGCTGCGACGGTGTCAAGATTCAACTAGAGCATTACCCAAGCCCGGCCCACACACCATAACTAGCTCAACAGGTGCGGGGTCAGCAACGAGCCGGCCAACTTCGATTCTACTTCGGTTAGAAACCCCGGCCTGCGAACCCACACGAAGTTTGCAACCTCAGGCTGTCACAACAGTCACAACTGAAACCTGGCTGCTCTTGAACATGTTGCACAATGTAGCATAACGCCAATGCAGTGGACATGCAAACCAGGAGTCTGATGCAAAAAAAGACAACGATGTGCATGTAGCACACCACTGAGCATCTTCTCCGTGAGGAGCATGCTATCAAATGAGTCACATCTCGTCCAAGCCGCTAGCAGGAGACAGACGATCGTCCGAACCTGTCACCACATGCGAATGTTCAGAGACAGGTTGAGGAGAGCTCGTCTTGCAACTCCGGATACAATCCTGACGGCTTTAGTACGACTACAACTCGCGACCGAGCATGAGATTGTCAGGCTGAGTGCTACTTTAGCTTGTGCCAGGGGACCAAGAACGCGCAAAGGTCGTTGAAGGCACCCGAGCTGAAGCAGAGCAGCAATATGAAGAGAATCAAGAACACCACCTGAAGCTCAGCAGAGTTGGTCCATCCCATGAAACCTGCGTTGATTGCAGCGGTGTGGCAGGATAAGAGATTTTGTACACATGGTTCAGCTTCTTCGCCAGTTCCTGGATGACACTCACAAGCAGGGGGCAACGACGACGATCAAATGCACGTAGCCGTCATGAATTGCAGAGTGTCCGATGTCAACCGGAATCGAGGAATGAGTAACAGCGACGAACATACACGCAGGGTGCATGGTACAAGCTAAGCGCTGAACAGCTACCCAAGACAAAGACAATACGTTCATCCTGCTATCATAGCATCTCAGCTGTCCATTCATTCAGTCTGCTTGCTCGCGAAACACCCTCTCACAGGCATCTGCGATAATCTGCGTCGAGGCACCTCATTCTTGTATGTGTGAAAGCAGATCCTTAGACTGCAGCTTTGGTCAAGCGTGAGGACTTTGTGAGCTCCGGTCGGCGAGGTCCTCCGGCCTGTGCTACGTCTAAGACAGCGGGCTTCTTCAGCACAGCTGCGGAGTCAGCCCCTCCCGCGTGTTACCGCGCACTGAAAAGGGTAGTAGGTCGGAGTGGGACAAACACTCAGTCACCGGTCCCCCCCACAGAAACCAGCTAACCTAGTACTGCCTATTACCCTCAACCTGCCGCCGGCTCTCTCTCTCTCTCTCTCTCTCTCTCTCTCTCTCTTCAACACAGTCAGGAGTGTTAGTGGGTGGTGTCGCACAGTCTCTCTGTCTCATTTTACTCTGCCAAGAGTCTCCATGGACAGGCTCAGCACACTCACAGAGCCTGAGCACGTGCTCCGAAGATGTACAAGCTCGTGTTGACGGAAAACTCTGTACCGCGGAGCCGATCAGCAGGCAGACCATCTCCATATAGACGTCCGTCCACGAGTCCGGCACCCGCGCCTTGGTCCTCAGAGAGTCAGAAGGGTCAACCGAATTGACATCTTTCTCTTCGGCCGAGAGGCAGCAAGGTCATCTCGCCTCGACACTGCTGTATGATGCTTCATGGCTGTCAGCGTTCCAGCATGCAACTGTGTTAGTCAGCACTCTTCCCAATCGAGTCAACTGCTGCCGAGGCACCCAGCAGTGAGATGACGCTCGAAGCAACACGTGGCATGGTAAAGGCTGGAACCTCACAGAAGCCAAGCTTGGGGGGTTCCCACTGTGTTAGCTATGTGGTAGAAGTGTCGTTTTTGTCGACGAGGAACGAGGGGAAAGAAGAAAACGGAGTAGGACACAGCCAGCAAGGTGAGCGTGGGTCCGAAGATCTGTCGTCCTGCTCCTCCGAAACCACCTCAATGCGAGGAGTGTGTCTTCAACTCCGGAGGCCATGCTTTCCATGATATTGCAGCAGAATCACGAGCTATCTGAATCTCAAACAGTCCACGGCTCTTGACCTTTGCAATGAGAAAGCGCGGCAACGGACAATAGCACACTTCAGGATACTTCATGGCCTGGAACGGTCAACGAAGCTGAGGCCCGAGCAAGCAACGCATCCGTCTCTTTGAAGCTGGAAATGGAATACTTCGGCTTTGCTCCTGCCACTCATGCTTCCTTGTTAACCCGGCTGTTCTGTCAATGTGGAATGCTTGCGGTTACTGTCGCTGGCGCATGGCAACACTCCTTCTGTGCCACCGAAGCCAGTTCCTCACTCACGTCACGACAACTGAACTCTTCGACTCTTCGCATTCTCTCTGCAATCACAGCCTACTCCATGCTCCGCAAGATAGCTCGGGTTCCTTACTCCTTCGAGTCGTAGCTGGTTCTGACTGAGGGCTGTGGTCACTAGCTTTTCGGAGGCTGATGCAACGATGCCCTGTCGCTGGATCTGGCAGCCTAGCCAGCCCCTCCCTGTCTCTCGAAGGCCCTTCCAGACTGCAGAAAGGAGTCCGGTCAGCACGTCATCCTTGACCTCGGCTGGAGTGCACGACCCCTTCGCATCCTTGACTTGAAGCAGTATGCAGATGTTTAGCCATAAGCTGCTTCAATGGGACGAGAGGCTCCAATCAGCGTCGTGTCTGTGTGAGGTTTGAGAACCTCCGCTCCAGCAAAAAGCGAGAGATCTGCGAGGCATCGCATCCTTCACGGTCCGAGGCTTCGACCAACTCATCAGCCATCAGCTTCTCAGACGCTACGATGACTTGCAGCGACTGACGGTCGAAAGGATATGCCTCAAAGTAGCGTGCGAGCTCGGTGCAAACCGGATGTCGCAAGGTCCCAAGACGACGGCTGAGGTATCAAAGTCGTTCGTCATCGTCACGAGCATCCGTTCGACCTGCATCGCCCTGGCCCTGGCCCTGGCCCCAGGGCCCTGGCCCTGGCCCCCTGCCTTTGTTGCCCAGCCCGAGGACCAGATCTTCACACTGGAGGAAAGGACTTCGACATTCTTGAAATCCCGGTTTGTAACCTGGCACCAGCTGTCACCTACTGCACTTTGCATGTGGCATGCTCCTTAAAGCTGCTGAATTCCGGACTCCAATATCTGGCAGCCAAATGAGTTTCCTGCACTGCTGCGAGTTGCGTCCGAAGCTTTCAACTCACACTAAATCTGTCCTTGCATCATCTGTAGAGTATCGGGTATCCTCCTTGCCAACAGGTAGTACCTGAACAGATGTAGTTGCAACTTAGTGAGGCTCTGCTGGCAACTGCTGGTACCCCTGCCTGAGACACCTCTGGGTCATTCCAGCTTACGGTCAGCACGATGTCTCCTTCATAGAAGAAGGCGCGCTCTGGTCTTGCTCGGCTCGAGCAGTTTTGTTCAGGTAAAGCGAACTCCGAATTGCTGGGCACATCTGCTGTCCTGTCCAGGTCTTTTTGATGACATCCACGTCGAACACACGCCTTGCATGAGCTGCTAGTTTGCACTCAACAAGTCCTCATGTCAACTGCAGCCTGCCTGCAGAAAATGCCGAACCTCTGCAAGGAGCACGACTCGTTTAGGCTCTGTGAAACCTGGCACCCTTGCTGAACTGAGGTGAGGGCATCACCTCGCGAGGCTTTGCACGCACCTCTGCCAAGGAGGCACCTGGCAAAGGCGTTGAGTCGACGCACCAGGCGACTTTGCTCGGCATCCTGCTCCGCACCTCCTGCCACGAAGTCCTCATGGTGCGGGCAACGACTCATCACTGATGACACTGACAGGGTAGCTATCAAGCAGCAATGCATAAGGTATCCTGGCGGTGAATCTGGCCTGGCTGTTCCTTGTCTGGGTCAGATGCCATCACCTACTTATCCTGGTTGCAAAAACGAAACCTGCCTTGCTGTTGATGCTTCCAAGTGGTCCAACCTGTAAACGTGAATCTGAACTGCTTCCGTGGTGTGTCGATAATTGGAGGCCTCCATCGCCATCATCCTGTCTGGCCTGAGGAAGAAACTTCTGACTTCTGATCCATTATTCACTGACTGTCTTGCAAAGGTCCTGCCGAAGAAGGCTTGGGTGTGCGAGTCATCAGCTTCCTTGTCTAAATACTTGCAGAAGGATGCAAGGAAAACGCAACCACATCCACTACGCGTGTCAAACAGATCCGTACACGTCTGTGCCAGGCAGCAGTCTTGAGGCTGTCTTCGCGGCGCACCAAGGAGCTTGCATCAGCATGCGTTTCTGCCAGTGCCAGAACGTCAGTGTCCCGGAACAGAAGCAAGTCCAAACCCACAAGCAGACATTTGGACTACGTGAGAACTTCAACGATCAGGAAGGTCCACGAGGCAAGTCCACCTACGGCGTCGGCTGGAAGTGGCAGTAACAGTGGCAGCAGCAGCGGCAGCAGCAGCGACCGTAGTCGCTGCATGAAGCCTGAGTGCTGTCAGGACTCAACGTCTTGCACGCGGCAAGGCTGAATGCCCTGTGACAACCCTCTTTCCCTTTGCCCTGCCATCCGATCGAGAAACTTCTTTTGCTTGTATGGATTCTGGAGTCGACAAAAACGGAAGGCGACGGAAGGCCACGCTGGCCGTCAGCCTTGGCCTTGGCTGCTAGAGCTTCGCAAACGCTGCATAATTGCACGTGTCATGCCGTCCATGTGAAGTCACAACTCGGGCAACCATTTGTTAGAAAGCCAGCTCCGGTTACTGCCCAAGTCTGATCCAGGCGGCTGGGGTGCGCCCGCAACTTTCAGCAGGCTGGAGCCACATGCATCACAGTCACGCGCCGATCACAATCATGCGACACTTGGTGGGATAGTACTGCACAGCAGACCCACAGTCGGAAGAAGGCCACTAGGCATCCAATTCCTGAATGGCCTGAAACTTCTAACTCACAAACGCTTCAGATAGTACGGATTGCACGGCCTTTTTTGATTTTGCTGAGGTATCCTTTTCGCATCTGTGTTTGTATGAACGGTGTGTTGCTAATTGGGCTCATGGCTTGCTGGACTTCAGGGTTGGGGTTTTGGAGGAAGGAGGTACACTAGCCCCAATTGGCTCGTCAAAATAGCATCCCGTTAGGAGGCCTTCTTAGCCGAAATGGCACCAGCCATTCGAAGACCTTGAATCATAGCAAACCCCTTCGACGTTTGTCTTAGCGAAACACCTTCGATGTTTCATGCGAGGATCTTTTGAGGGCTAGCACACACTGTCGTGCCACGGGCACGGTTGCGTACACTAGCCCCAATGATCATCCCGCCACCTCCCCAGAACTCCACCGATTACTTACGGCTAGCGAAACAGAAGAACTGCAGAGACAGCACTCGCTAGCAGACACTCTCTTTTTCAATGTGTGGACCGAATCCCAGGTAGCCCGGAGAAGGTCTCGGGCGATCTTCGTTAGCCAATCTCCTTGCATAGCCACTCGGGCTACCAGCCTCCTGGCTTTCTGACCTTCCGGAAGAAACGCAGTGGCTTAGCCACTCTCACCCTCTTCTGCACTCCCAGCTCGTGGTAGTAGCTAGCCGAGTGCTCCAGAAGACGGTCCAGGATCTTCCACTTTAGCGACGAACCGTCTAGCTTGACTTTAAGTTCCGGGTCAAAGCTATCGAAGTTCTCGTTCGTCAGATCGCATGCTGGCTGGTTCAGGTCTCTCCTGATCCATTGTAGCTGTAGCCCGCCGTTCTTAGCGGACAGCTCCGCGGCTGTTCTCCATTAGCACCAAGTTCGATGGGAACTTCGTCGTCATCGCCTTCTTTAGCAGTGCTTTGTTGGACTTGTTGTCCGTGTAGCCTCGAACAGCTACTCGGGAGGTGTTTTCTTCTCAGAGCTCTCGGGCACCCATAGCTTGACTGCCACCAGGGTCGCCAATAGCTCTAACGCGGCTATAGGCCCAGGGCGCCCAGGTCTCCTGAACTTCTAGCGAGAACCATGGCCCCTGCAGCCCGGCGCGAGCTCCAGAAAACCTCCTATCCAGGCCCTGCCGGCCTCCGCTTTAGCATCCGGGAAGAAACTCAGAAGAGCTCCTCCATCGATTAGCGACGCACGCTTCTGCAATCTCCCGCCTTCGGATAGCCGCTCGGCGAGCCAGTGACAAAGCACCCTCAGCATCCTCGGCACTGTTAGCACGCTAACCTTGGTTTGGACTGCAGACGACTAGGCGTGTAGCGGCCCCAGGAAGGTCTTTCCCAGTCTAGGGCTATCGCAGCGAAGCCCAGTCGGCCAAGGCCCTGGGCAACTCCTTAGCTGTGACCCTTCCCTTCTCTCGGCTTTGTCCTTTAGCCGATCCAAAAGTTTGTTTTTTGTTAGACAGGCCTAGCTGATGATTCGGATAGTGTGGCCATGGCAGGGAACCCCTATCTTCGCAGATCTGCCGCGCGACTGCCCCGCACTCGTCAAGTGTCTGTGCGGCCAGCTCTAGCGTGCCCATCCCCTGATCCGCTTGGAGGTAGGCTCTGTCAAACAGTCCATGGTCCGCTTCCTCTTGACCATGGATCGGGACTAGCTCTGGTTGTCCCAATAGGGGTTGTAAGTCACCGCTAGCAGACCTCCCCCAGCCTCGCAGTGGTGCTCAGGACTGCTGGGCACTATCTCTGTTGGGCTATGCTTCGCATCCGAGCCAGCCTCCGACATGGCGGCAAAGCAGGGCTATTAGCCCCGTTCCCTTTCACCGTAGCTCTTCAAAATAGCCTCCCGCTTGGAGGCCTTCTTAGCCGAAACGACAACAGCCATTCGAAGAGCTTGAATCATAGCAAACACCTTCGACGTTCGCTTTAGCGAAACACCTTCGATGTTTCATGTGAGGATCTTTTGAGGGCTAGCACACACGGTCGTGCCACGGGCACGATTGCGTGTTTCGAGTTGACCGCTTCTTTGTCTTGCGTTTAAGCTTTAGGCTTTAGGGCTTTGGGGTTTGCGGTTTCGGTTCTAGGGTTTGGGTCTGGGGTTTAGGTCTCAGTAATTACGGTTTGGGTTTGAGTTTTGGGCTTCGGGTTTAAAGTTCGAGTTTTTTCCTCGGGTTTGGGGCTTAGGGCTTCGGGCCTCGGGTAAGGGGCTTAGAGTTTAGGGTTGGGTGTTTAGCGGATGAGGGTTTGCGGTTGGGATTTTGGGGTGATGGGTTTAGGGTAGGGCTCAGGATAGAGGTTTAGGGCTTGTACTTCAGATATTTCAGGCTTTAGGAGCTAGGGTTGGGGTTTGGAGTTTAAGTTTTTCTGGCTTCGGGGTTTGGGTGTTGTCTTGTGGGGTTTGCCGTTTTGGGGTTCAGGGTTTCGGGTTTAGAATTTTGGGGTGTGCTGCCGGTTAGGACCTGGGGCTGAGATGGGTTTTAGCAACCGGCTACAGCCAGACAAAAAAGACAGTGTTGACGGCAACATATTGCCACAGCCAACCCAAACACAGCCTACCCAAAATCGAGACACAGCTGCCGGACAAAAACAAAAGACTGTACTTTAGCTAATTTGCTTGCCGGACGGAACGCAACACTGCCTTTTAAGCAAATGCCGCCTGGAGAGTGGCAATCCGCTCGACTCCGCTCGTGAGACTCTTGTTCGGTGATGTTCGGCGCTGGACAAGTCCAACTGGGATCCGGAAAGCCAACGGAATGCTGCTCGTAAATGCGCTTATTTGATTTTCAATCCTGTCAACCTGCAAGATTATCAACGGGCACTGAAAGCTAAACCATCTGCTGGACTCGCTCAGGTTGGAAGCTCGCACTCTGGGACCTTTGCGGTCGTGGCTCGATTGGGCAGGCTGTCGACATGCCAACGGTCAACATCCCACGATTTGCAGACGTCTCTGCAGCCGCTCATTTCTCCACTCTTGGGCTGGGATTAGACTGTTACGATGTCTACAGTCTAAAATCCGTGTGGCAAGTAACTTGCACGAGAGATGTGTCAAGATTCGTGGTCCAAGATGCGATTCCGAGCCAGGGATTCTCCTGCAATTCACACTTTCGCAGAGGTTCGAAGCACCCGCGCACTGCTGGTCTTCTGCCTCCTCAGCTTCCTCGGCCTCCAGTTCTGCGAGACCCTGGAACGGTTCCGGGCCTTAGCAGCAGCGCATGTGCTGTATTGCCAACTTGAGCTGTCCAAAAAGGCTGTCCGAGAGCAAATCCAGCACCGAAGGCTCCCCAGCTCGCAACGTCAGGCATCAGATTCTCCGATGCGGGTCTCCTGTCAGGACGGGGCCCGCACAAGTTTCACGAGAAGAATCATTGGCGACTCAGGCCGAGCTGCGCGTGGGCGGCCAGGAGGCGCTGCGCAGGAGGAATGTTGTCGAGGCCGAGGTTCGGGACGTTCGGGAGGTTCGTGGCGCTCGGGGTCGGTGTCTGCGCTCGGGGGCGGACCACGGGGCGCGTGGGCGCACCGAAGGGGCTTGCCAGGACAGGGCTCACCATGGGACTGGCGGCCACATGGCTCACCGGATTCAGGGGCACCATTGGTGTGATGGGCCGCATCGGCACCGTCAGGGGGAGAGGGCCAGGCATGGGAACACGCGGTGCCGAGACGCCAGGCCGAAGCGGAGGCCCAAGGCCTAAGCTCGCAGCGCGAAATAGGATGGTTTTGCGCTTTGACCCGGCGCAGCACCCTGCCTGGGCCTAGACCGAAGCTTTGCCTGGGCGGCATGGGATGCGCGCTCGCCCCGCTCCGGCTGGGTTTCAGAAGGCCCAGCCTGCTTGCGCTCACAACCTCGGGTGGCGGAAACCGCGAGCCCGGCCCTTTTTTGAGTGTTGGAGACTAAGGGGCCGAGGGCTTGCGGCTTGGCTTCTCGGCTTGTCAGCTAGAAGGGCCACAAGCAAATTGGCTAGTGCATCCGGCTGCCGGAATTTCTGCCGGCCGGATCTTCTTGTCGTCTGTGTCCACCAGCTCCTTCGGACATGGCACAAGTATTCACGGCATTCGAGCTTGCACCTGGTCATAACAGCTAGCAGTGGTGCCAAAGAATTTGCTACTTGACACCGTCGCTGACTGCTGCCTTCAGCCGCTGGCGCACCATGGCTTTAGCCTTTTCCTTAGTCTAGAGTGTTCAATGCTTCTAAAGAACTACTTCCAGCACGTTTCTTCACTCAGCCTAGTAGCTCTCTGATCCCCAATGATCTGAATCTTGTGAGGTCCATTCCCTTGAGCAGGAGGAATGACTCCGATGAAGAGGTTTCCCCCACAAGCTTCTCGGATGGCCTCAGCATTACTCAGCATAACCGCTGTCCCTCCGAATTCGCAGAACACCATGTCTCAGCTTGAAAACTCCACTCCTAAGCATGCGGCCTTGACATGCTCGCCACCTTTCCCGATGAAGAGCCCTGCTCCCATGCTGTGTGTGGTCTGAGCCACTTCTGGACCAAAGCTGCAGTCAGCCCAGCCTACCACATCTGGCGGGACCACGAGGTCTGTTTCGTCGGGCTGATTGGCCTCGTAGCAGTCAGTCTTGCCCATGATCCAAACAGTTGCCTATGTCTCTGCCCGTCCCGCGGTGCTTAAGGTTACATGATGTTACATTGACATGCTGGCCAGGTCCTGCCTCATCTTCAGGGAGCGGGCAACCTGTCAACAACTCGCGGCGACATCTCGAAGAGCCCCTAGAGGGATGCCCTCTCCAGATTGCTCAAAACTCGCTCCGCTCCGGCCTTTGGCCGCCAAAGTTTCTCGGATGAGGACTTCGGCTTTTTCGATCTCCCCGACGATGGTGACTTCGCCTTGAGGCAGGACCGTTTGGCCCCAGTGCTACACTGACAGCCCTTTGGGCTGCAATAAACGCCTTCATCGGCAATGCGGTCGTGATCTACTTTGATCTCTGCATTCGCCTTTTCGCCTGATTAGCCGGTGCCGGCAACACAAATGCTCTTCGCCGCTCTTCGGTAGTTTGTATCGCTGGGGCAAGAACAAATGCTTTTGATTGTTTCACCTCCTCTGCCAAGAAGGACTCTGATCTGCACTGCCTTCAGCATCATTGTTTTGTGCCTGCAGAGCGCAGCTGCTGGCAATTGAGTACTGCGCCGCAACAACACATTCCAAAAAGTGGAGCAGAACCTCTTAGTACTTGTGACGCAACTTCGAGCCTCTGCCCAAGCAAGTTTGGAAGCTGTGCCCTGACATCGGTAAAGCAGTCGCACAACCGCGTGACAATTCGGATGGTGTGCCGCTCTTACTCTCTGCACCTGCTCGTCGTTGGGCCTGGAACCACAATCTGCCTCAGCTAGGCAGTAAAGATGCGCTCAGTGCTAAGCATGAAAAAAGCACCGTACCATGCGGCTGTTTCTATCGGTCTAGTTCACCTCCGACGGTGTAGGCCAGGGTGCGGAACTGGCTTCCCGGACAGAGGGCCCTCCAAGTCCTCGGGGCACAACCCATGGTCTCTCCCTCCGAGGACAGCAGCATGCGAGATGGATGCATTTGTCTTCTATTCTCTTCTCCTTCAGCCAGTCCGGTAAACCCGTCTGAGTCTGGGTTGACGGGGAGTTGCCATCTCCTTGCGCAGGGTCGGAGCTCATCTCGAAGAGAACTCCTACGGTCCCAAACCTCGATCGTCCCATTTGCTCCGCCGAGGGCGGGCCTCCTCAACACGAGCTTGCCCCGACGCAGCTGCAATCTTCACAACACAAAACCACTGCAATTGCATCCATCTCCTTCTCCGGCGCTGGCTCCGGGATTCGCTCCTCATCATTCCGCCGACGTCGAGGAAGTGCTTCCCTGGTGAAATAAAGTACACCCCCCTCTGAAGGCTGCGGGCGTAGGAGGTCTACTTGGCAAATCCAGCACTCCAGGGTTGTCAGCGCTTGGCCGATGCATTTCCCACTCCAGTACAAGTATCAATCGCTGCAAGGGCGGCATCGAATCACCGATGCCGTTGATCCAACAAGCTCACTCCGAGTTCTGTGAGACTCTTTCCGCTGACATCGCTATTCCTTATTCTGCTATATGTGCGTCACGAGACACGTCCAACAACAGAAGAAGAATTCTGCTATATATTCTGCTATATCGGCAAGTTTGGAAGGCCGAGAGGTTGCAGAAGCTCAAGACATTTGCTGCAGTTCTACTCGACATGGAATCACATGACTCATATCGATCTGTAACGTGTGCTCCTGCGGGACTGCTAGGCTAGTGATTCTCCCATCAGGTGCGGCACAGATTCTCAACTGCGCCTAGTGATCCAAACTGTCGTGATTGTCATATAAGGATTGGGTACGAAAGTGTGTCGCCAAGATGCATCCACACCCTGTCCTGGCTAACCAGGCACCTAACGCCAATGTTCCAGTTGGTTGTCTCTCGATATCTCTCGATCGGTGCAAAAACATCCACCACTACGTGCAAGACATACGATGCTGTCACAAACGCGCAGCACATGTCGTCCAGCCCTGCCCTTGTGCATGACTGGGCTGAGTGGGGGAGGATTGCTGGATGCAACAACTTGGATTCTGATGAATTTCAGCGGCTCGTCGGCTCGCTGAAGCGGAAGGCCTCTTAACACCGCCCCGGCCCCCCCGGCCCTGGCCTGATAGCAGTTTGTTTGCGGCCCAAGGATCGAGAGCTCGACCTCAAACGAGAAGCTACGGAGCACAAAGTGGTGCATCTGCGAGTGAATCCAAGGTTGGAGCCGGTGAGGCTGAAGTCGTTCTCTGGACTCGGGTCAGCAGAAGCGAATCCGTCGCAAAGCTCGTCGAAACCGTCAGCGGGAGACGGCGGGGCACCCTGCGGCTTGAGGCATCGGCTCGCCGCCGATCAGCACGGTCGTTCTCGGCACGACCACCACGGCTCCGCAACGGACTGAGGCAGCCGAATGAAGGAAAGCGAAAACAGAGGCAAAGCAGACCTGGAATTTCATGGAAGGGGAAGGAGTACACTCAGAGCAACAGCAAGGGCGTGGCGGTCGGCTGTCCCGTCGGCGTGGCTGAAGCTTCAGTGGGCTCCTCGTGCGGCTGCGCCGGCGCATCCCCCGCTGGCGGGACAGACTTAAGCAGCTTCAATGCGACGTGGAGATGGTTGTTCGAGTCTAACATGCAACAAAGCCATGACGCGGGCTACTGGGTTTATGAATGCGCAATGCAAAGTACAGCAGTGTGAAGTACTGCGGCCGCCGCAGCACCTTCATTTGTCATCTGCGACATGTGAATGCACTTGCATGATCTTGCATCGCTAGAGTGGTTCTATGCACGATGTGCCTGTCAGGAAGCTATGCAGCTTATGCGAATGGTTGATAGGTTGAACGTGCATAGAAAACAATGTCGTGCCCATTGAACAGTAAGCACACAGAGAAGATATGACTGCTTAGCCAAGCTGTGAAGCTACGACAGGCGAGCCGACGAAAGGGAGAGGCGAAGCTCTGCTGCACTGGCATTGCGACGGACTGAGCAGCAGGGTAGCTGCTGTCTTGCAAACACCATTGATTCTTGCTGGACTACTTGCCGGCGCTCTTCGCCGGTTTCTCACTAGGAAGCAGCGTGTGCTGTGCTGTGCCTCGTCGGCTTGGCTCAGGAGGCTCAGACACTGACACGCCGCGATTCCCTCGAATCCACCTCACACGGCTTCCCAAGTTGAGATCTTCAAGCTCACAGCCCCACTGTGAGAAAGCATTTGAAAACTTCTGCCTCTGTGGAAAGTTCTGGTGGGGCTCAGTCCCGCCTGGAGTGCAAGATCTGACTAGTTGTGGCGTGCTTTTGGTCTTTGACTCTCCCCACCTTGACACAGGGCGCCGAGTGGTGACGCCAGTAGCTCGGAGCCTGCGCATTTCTCCCTGCACGTGTACCACCTCACTCCGTCCCTGCGTCAGGTCAGGGCTGAAGGTCGGAATCCAAGTCGTCCAAGGCTATCCGCTCATCTTGAACCTGAGATTGCGCGACCTGGGCCTCAGTCCTGCCTGCAGCGCTTAGCTGCTTAGCTCTAGTTCTGGGCCCAGACCGATGCCAGCAGACGTGAGTCGGGATCGACATCAGCAGCATCTGCGCACGTCACATGGCTGTACCGCTTCGCCATGCGCCCTGCACCATGCAGGCACCGCACCCCCCGGCTAGTCCGCCTGCACGGCTCCGCTTCGCCTGGAGAGCAGGGCCAGGGCTGGGGGCGGGCACGGAAGCTGCTCGGCCGCTCTCGGGCGATCTCCGCAAGGCGCCTGCTCCAGCAGCTCGGGAGGGACCGTGAGGTCCAGCTTCTGTAATGGCCTGAGCTCTGCGTTCAAACGCAAGTGGCGAAAGAGCAAATAAGGAGCGCCGGGCGCGTCGATGCCCCCGAGAAGCTTCTTGGCTGCCTGGGGCTGGGACTGGGATGGGGCCCGGCTGGGGTGTGCTGGGATCTGTGGGTTTTTCTTCAGCTCACGGCCTTGGCTCGCTCCGAGTTGTCGCGGTGTCGGCTCCATATCTGCCAACAGCGGCTCCGTAATTACATATGGTTCTTTTATGTTATTTTTCAAGTTCGTGCATCTGGAAAGCCTCCAACAAAGGCGGGTCGTCCTGCAGAACGGAGGCTGTGACCAGCTCGCTGCACATGCTTCTTAACATGGGCAGGCAAGCGGAGCAGCCGAACTCCTGAAGAGACTCAGCCGTGCTTGTTGGCGCCTGGCAGAAACGAAAAGGTCGAGGATGCACGGTACTTCAACAAAGCGTCGTCATGTATGAAAGAAAGAAAGAACGAGATAGCTCAACGAGGCCTTTCTGCCTCCACTGTATGCAGCTTCATGCGGTTGACTCTCGACTGTTCGATAGACACTGACACTAGTTCCACACCCCCGGCAGGTACGTAGTCAAGGGAATTCGCGAGTCGCAAGCTGTAGAAATCTACTTCGCTCTCCACTCCGTGTGTAAGCTGCTGTCAGCGGCAGGAAGAGCGTGTCGAGGCAAGTCGCCGGCTTCACACTTCCAAAAGTAATGAGCTGCCCGAGTTGCACGCAAGACAGTACGACCACAGCTTCTAAATCACCGTCTTGCCCTGCCTTCTGTGAACCATAGCCGCCAGCTACCTGGCGATACGCTCGATCACTCCATTTTAGCCAGTGCTGATTTACCAATACACATCATCTCCTACGCTGAACTTGTCCAAGGGCGAGGAGCCTCCTCCAGATTCTCAGGGCGAATGGCCTTCACTTCCCCACTTCGAAGTCGAACATTCCTGCCCCGACAAGACAGCAAGTGACCCTGCTCGCTTTTCGGTCTATGCGTCCAGCGATTGGATGAAGCATTCCAGCTTTCAAGAGCCTTAAAGCGCTAGGACTTCAAAGCATGTGGCTTGTGAAACTTGAGGACGGGTGCATCGTGTAGGCATCGGGCACCTTTCTCGCCATTGAGCCTTGCGGCCTCAACAATCAAGGGCTGCAAAGTCTGGGGCTCGGTCTAATCTAGGCGGACTGGAGTCTCTGCCTGTAATTCTCCGTAAGTTTGTCATTCATGCGTAGAGCGAAACAACGTGAAACAACAATCGCCAAGAAGCATCGTGGATGATTCAACACGACATTGCTCAACAGGCATGAGGAAATTCAAACCAAAGACTAGAAGATCAAACATCAGAGAATGGGAAGCGTATCCAGTAGCACACCCTGTTCTGCCGACATGATGCGCAGTCGGGTTAGCAAGCGTGACGCCATGATCCACTCGCTGAACAGACAAGAGCCTACGGCCAACGCCCTACTTAATTGCATGGCCCTACTAGCACAATCCAGTCCGAGGCAGCGACGGAGTCGCCTGTGAGACCTTGCACTCGAACCGTCGAGCCCGCAGTCAGTCCTGCAGCCAACGTTCGTCGCGGCCATAGCGTAGCGCAGAGAGATGCAGAGAGGCCATCGCGGTTCCGCACAGCTGCTCCTGGTCCTGCAGCTTCTGCACGGCCAGCGGCAGCCTTGAGAGGGAGTGTTTGGCAAGGGAACTGAAACTGGCTTTCCGGGGGCTCGGAATCTGCCTGAAACCCGGCTCACCCCTCACCTACCCACCGCCCCTGTCTGATAAGCGAGCCAAAATCCCACGTACGCTCCCACGAGAGGGTCCAGGTGTCGGCAGTTTCTCGGCCGGTCCGGCCAGCCTCCTTAACTTTCAGCAGTCGCGATTTGGGGTCAGCCCCCGTGCAACGTAAGCGCACAAAAAGCGCTCTGAAGGTTGCTCCCCTTGCGCATGTCTGGCCGTGAGTTGCGCCTTTGGCAGCTTCTCACTTCTCCGAGCTGTCCATACACGGATTACAATCCTCATTACGTCTCAATACGTCTCACTTCTCCGAGCTGTCCATACACGGATTACAATCCTCCTTCCGCTTCCAGATTCGAGCCGGGGCGGCTTGTGCGAATCTGCATGCCGGAGGCCCAAAAGCTGAATCTTAAGTGTTGGATTCCTCATCCCACGCCGGCCGGCACAGAAAGAGGCTTGTGGATAGCTTGGCAGAGAAGTGGTGGGCTTGCCTCCACAGGTCGCGAAGGTCGCGAGATGCTCGCCTCGGACCTTCGGACACTGTCCCAAAGTGGCACATGCAAAGGGCAGGAATCGAGGCTAAGTGCCTGGCTCGCGGTAAGCATCCGCTGGTGTGTCTGGTAGGCAGATCTGGCGAGAGTCCAAGAAAGAACCAGCACTGCCAGCACCGGTCACGGTTCATGCACCGGTCTGCTGGTTCCTCCTCGTCACGCTTTCCCGGCGCGAGCCCAGGGGCCTCGCAGGCGGTCTCGTAATGGTTAGGAGGAAGCTGACATAAGCTCACGAACAACGAACAAACGGCCCAATTTTCAATGCATTCTGATGTGCAAGCTGATGCTCAAGCTTTGCTTAAAGCCGCGCGCGCCGGTGCTTGTGTGCACCTCGGATCTGGCCGCTGGTTCCTCGTTCGTAGCAGTCGTAGCGCGTGCGTGGAGTCCTTGTCTGCAGCCTTAACCGCTTGCCCACAAAGTTTCTCCGGAGCTACGGCACCTCAGATGCTTTCTCCGAATGCTGCACGGCTGAGGCCCTACACCGAAGTAAACTGCGGGTTGGGCTTGGGCCACATATGCCACGCCACAACAATAGCCCACCCGACACAAACGCAGCGTGGGAGCGTTGTAGAGCTTCATACCACATCACGGCATCATGCCTGACCTGACGGAGACGGCCCAAGGATTGCCTCTAGCACTGCTTGCCGTTGACAAGCCGCCGCCTCGCAGCACTGCCAGGTTCGCCTCACCGACTACAGCCTGGTGCTCAACACATTTCACGAGCAAGCCTTCGTCACGCGTGCAACCGGCGGAACCCCGTAGCCCTACCGGCTGCAATGGCCTTCCAAGGGTGCAGTTCCTTATTTCAACGGCATCTCGTTCGGCTTCAGGACTGGGGGCTAAGGCCTAAGGCTCAACTTTCTGATCTTGCGGGTTTCCAGAATGTGGTGGGATTTCCAACTGGTCAGGTCTTGCATTTGTTTAGAACCAACCAGTAGCAGAAGTGTTGTTGGTACTCGTCCAGTCCATATGTCCGAGTCGAATCAAGCAGCTGAATTCAGAGTTGACCTGAAAGAGACCGGACCTGAACATGTGCTCCGAAATGAAAAATCCCAGCATGGTATCTTGCCAAACTAGAAGAGCAGGCTGCCTGCATGCGTGCCGCCAAAACGGCACCGTAGCTCAGCACATCTGGAGCCTCGAGGTGAATGCCCGAGGCATATCAAACAGCAGCCATCGCAGGCAACAACATACCTCCATAGACCGCAAGCAAGATGCCAGCTCTAGTCGCGGCATGTTTTTGAGTAGGACCAATGCCTGAACTTGCAGTCACGTCTGCACAGAGTAGGACATGTGCTCATCTCGTTGTCAGAAACTGTATGTATCGATCCTCCTCCCATCTCGGCGAGGCAGCCAACGCTGACATCATGTTGTTGATGCTGTAGATATCTGGCAAGTGTTCCGTTTGACAGCCCCAGACAGCAAGAATATTGCTAGCTGCACCTGGGTTAATCTGTTTCCTCTCCATCTCCGTCAGCAGCTCACCTCGACTTATTTCGAGACTGGGTCTGACAGTCACGAACACTTAGACTATCCAGCTTGCTCTGGCTGAATCACAAATTGTGGACAAGCCGCAAGTTGCCTCCCAACCTCGGATTAGCACCAGCTGCTGAAAAACGGAGTTGATGAGGACAAGCAGTTGAAACCACGAGACTCTTCGATGACGTTCGTACGAGTCCTGCTGCCATGCCACATGTCGCTTTGGTACAGGCAGTCATCACGGCGGTGAAGCTCCAACAGTCTGGCTGGAGTTGAAATGCCGGCATTCGTCCTGCAAGAAGGCATAAGGAGGCATCGTCGATGGCGACGGCAAGGCGGCAAGACGAAGCGCATGTCAACTTACTTCCTGTGTTTGCTCCGGGATTTGGTGTTGCATGTTGTGCAAACTGTAGCGAGATTTGAGGTGTTCGAGTCCAGTCCTAGCAGCGATTGTGCAGCTGCGTAATGACTGCCTCCCGCGAGGGCATGAAGGGCCGCATTCATGGTGACGACCTGGAAGTCTGTGGTCGAAAGCTATAGTCTCCAAAGCTACATCCCATGTTTTGGGCTCCAGTAGGCTTCCCACGGTGGGCGTTAGAGATCGCTCGGGCAAGCTGCGAAGCACCTGTGTGCATGTTCTCAAGACCGATGTGGCTTTGGGCAAGAGTTGCGATGCCTGCAACGCCATGGACCATTGGGAGCCCTCTGCAAAGGCAGAGATGAGAGCGTTGCACGTGACAACGGTCGGCCACCTCAGCCAGCACTGCTTCCGTGAAGATGCGGTAGCCCCCAAAAAATTGAAAAGCACAAGAAACTCGAGTCGCAACACGGAATGACAGTCAAAAGCACCTCTGGCGCAGAGTTGCAGCTTCGAAAGCCTGCAACGACCATGCCCTTACTCCGTCCCACAGGTTGAAGGACCCCAAAAAGTCAAGCAGGGATCAAAAAATCAAATGCCTGGGATCAAAAACAAATGAAAATACAGATATCAAAAACATCAAAATATCATATGTCCTGGAGGGTATACTGTAGAAGATTACGTATTTTCGGATCAAAACATCAAATACGGATCAAAAAGATCAAACGTGGAAACGCAGTGCCAGGGGCAAGCTGCTGGCAGTACTGGCCGTTGCAGTATGTGGCATCCATAGTGGCGATGCCGGCTCATCGTACACCTTAAACAAACGCCCCCTGGCTTGGCGATTCCGGTTCATCCTATATGTCACGCATGCCCCGTCGTTTGGCCATTCCGATGCAACACGCCCCTTCGTTTGGCCATTCCGGTTCATCATATATCCTAGACACGCACCCTCGTTTGGCGAGCCCGGTTCATCACACATCTTACACACGCCCCCTCATTCGGCGATTCCTGTTCATCATAGATCTTTGGACTCCAGCAGCGCGCTGTGGTTACCCCACAGCATCCCACAGCTAACTGGTGAAACGCTGGGAGGCCCCAAGGGCCGGCGAACTCCCAGCCGAAAAAAAAGGGAGTTTTTGCCCCCGCGGGTGGAATTGCCCTGCGGTGCGGAGAAGGCACGGGTGGAAGCAAAAGCTGCACGCAGCAAAACGTCCAAAGTAAATGTAGCGCTGCATACCTTGAACTCGGCGAACTCCACTCGGGAAGACGCCGTGAGCGCGTAGCTCATGAAGACAAGAAACGTGCTGACAAGGAATGCACAAGACATCCAAAAACGTTAGGAATGTGAAATCTTCGATAAAATATCGTCATTCAGGAAATGCTAGAACGTAAGCTTGCAATGGCACTGACTGTTTGCAGACGCTTGTTCGTCAGAAGACGGCTGCTGCCGCGAGGCCACCCAAGCCTTGCCTGAAGCGCCTCAGTAGGGCGACGAGCTCTGCCGTCACTCATGCTAGGGCAAGCCCAAAACGGATGAGCATTGTGTCCTGTATCCATTTTGCAAAACGGACAGATGTCATTCACCATAGGCAGCAGGACTGCAGTACGCACCAGTCAAAATGACATTACGATCAGCGCTGCCCGACTTGCTTCAGCGCGAGCTTGCATCGTTGAGAGTCGTAATCCATGACAAGGCACAAATTGCCAGTACGCTGCGAACACTGCCACTCATTCCAGAGATGCGCACGGAAGCCCTCACGCAAATGTAGCGCTTGCTGTGCATGCATGCAGCGTCTGGTCGCTCACTATAACGGTCCATTCATTGGTCTAGAAGGAACGGCGATCCTTGTTCTCGACCAAGGCATCAATCAGGATCAGCGCCGTGGTTACCCCACAGCTACCTGTTGAAACACTTGGGGTGGGGGGGCCAAACACCAACAAGCTCCCATCTCACCCGGGCGGAAGTCCCTAGCGAAACTGCACCGCGGCGCGCCTCCCATTTTCAAAATGCTACCCTTTTTCAGACCTGCGGAGCTGTTGCTTTCCTGCTCAGGGCGATGAAGGGGGCGATGGGCTTCTGGAGAGATAGCAGAAGGAGAAAGCGGTGGAGAAGACTCCCCTCTTCTGTCTCAGCTCCTTTGCTTTGCGGACCGAACTCTGGGTCGGTTGAAATGAAACAGGACAGACCTGCACAAAAAATACGGTGCTTCGGTGAGCACAACAGTCGGCAGTCAAGGCACAGCTGATTTGAAAAAGCTCTTTCAAGTTCTGCGCTGCACCGGTGTCGTTGTCACCAGCATCAATGAGACGCCCGCTGCAGGAGTATCTGCTAAAGGAGCCAATTCCATTCAACAGATGGAAGCATTTAACACAGTAGCCGTTCTTGCACACAAGGGTTCCGGGCATGACCCTATGTTTGTCGGCATTTTCCCATGCTGCAATCAAGCCCTCCCATCTCGCTGGAAGTTGTGTGCGATTCTTTGCATGTTTGCGACACCGGTCCAGCTTCTCAAACACGATAATGCGCGTTTCAGCTTTTGCATTTCGAAGATTGCAACAAGAGGAGGCACACTACCAAAATCGACAAGAAAACAAGGAAACGAAGCTTTGCGAATTCTATCAGCCCTAGCCTTGAAGCCCAGAAGCTGCCGCGACTGCACAGACTTGAGCACACCTGGCGCCTGCTCACGGGGCTGATGGACAAGTCGCACGAAACTGAGCATTTCACACAGCGCACCTTGCCAGTGCGCCATTCAGGCTTCAACACATGGTGGTTTTGAGATGGGGCATCTTTCGAGGCACTTTCAATCGAATTTAAAAATTGGGTCCAACGTTTCAAGACACCTTGCAGATGCACCCGCACTTGAGTTTCAAGCAGCTGCTTCAAGGAATTGTGCGTTTGAGCAAGGCTGCTCGTGGATGACTTGAGGTTCGGGTCCACAGCTGTTTCAGGGTGCAAAAAACCAACAACAACAACGGCCTGCGGAAGGTTGCCACGAAGCACTTCCGTCCAGGAGCGCACGAGCGTGGCGAGGACCAGCCTCCCGGACTTTTCGGGCCCTGCGCTGGCGGTGCCAAGGTCCATGCCTTCGAGGCGTTCAAGGGGACACCCTTTGTCGGCACCAGCCCGAAACAGTTCGTGCTGTGGGCAAGCGACCCCTGCTTCCACCGCACGCAGGGTGCTATCAATCATCTGTACTTGCTTGAGCGAATCTAAGAACGGGATGGCTCGCGGGTACGGCCTCGACCTGGAAGTTTGTACTCTTTCGGGCACTGCGGCTTTTGGAGCACCAAGTTCCCCAAGACCACCTGCATGACGGTAACGGCTGCGGACCCCTAAAGGGATCATATGCTGGCCTCACCCACTCCTTTTGCGAGCTCTCCAGGCTCTTCTGGGCGAGAACCATCCCTTGAGGATGCCAGTCGACATCCAGGAGCTTGAGCTCCAAGGCTCCAAGTAGCGTGCGCTCAGTGGGCAAGCCGCGCCGCCTTCTCGTCTGCCCGGGGAAAGAACCAGGGTCCAGGTACCTGCAGCGGTCATCTTAAGCAAAAAACTGCACGGAGCAAAACGTCCAAAGTAAATGTAGTGCTGCATATCTTGAACTCGGTGAACTCCTACTCGTGAAGACGCCGCTGGAGACATCGAGCGCATAAGTCATAAAGACAAGAAACCCGCTGACAAGGAACGCACAAGACATCCGAAAACGTCAGGAAAGTGAAATCTTCGATAAAATATCGTCATTCAGGAAATGCTAGAACGTAAGCTTGCAATGGCACTGACTGCTTGCAAATGCTTGCAACAACACATAGCTCCAGCGTATGCTTCACGAAACATACTACTAAGCGAGAACTAAAGGGGCAGGCCTAAAACCAAGAACCCAAAGGGCAGGGGAAGGGAAGAGGAAGTCAGGGCAGTCACCCAGCAGCACAGGGCAGAAACTCAAAAGAATCAAGTCATATCACCGAATATCACCGTAGCGATGGGATAATACGGCCTTTGTCACATGCACCATCCAAGCAAGAGCGGCTTTGTCACAAGACGGCTGCTGGCCGCGAGGCCACCCAAGTCAGCCTGAAGCGCCTCAGTGGGGCGACGAGCTCTGCCTCACTAATGCTAAGGCAAGCCCAAAACGTATGAGCATTGTGTCCTGCATACAGTTTGCAAAACGGACAGATGTCATTGCCATGAGTGGCTACACCAGAGGCAGCAGGACTGCAGTAAAACACCAGTCATAGTGGCAAAGCGATCAGCACTGCTCAACAAATGTAATGCTTGCTGTGCATGCATGCTCGCGACGCACTACAACGGTCCATAACATGCTCCCTCGCTTGGCGATTCCGGTTATGTTCATGATTTAGCTTAAACATGCCGCCTCATGTGGCCATGCCAGTTCATCATATACCCTAAACACGCTCCCTCATTTGACGATTCCGGTCAATCATATATCTTAAACACGCCCCATTCATTTGGCCCCTCCGGCCCGTCATATATCTTAAACACGCCCCTGCATTCGGCCCTTCCGGCTATAATATATCTTAGACATGCCCCTTCATTTGGCCACTCCGGTTCATTTTATATCTTAAACTCGCCCCCTCGTGTGGCCATTCCGGTTCATCCTCAGTCTTGAACACGCCGCCTCATTTGGCGATTCCGGTTCATCCTATATCTTAAACACACCCCCGCATGCGGCCATTCCGGTTCATCATAAACACGCCCCCTCATTTGGCGATTCCGTCCAGCCTATATCTTAAACACGCCCGCTCTGGCCATTCCGGTTCATCATGTATCTTAAACAATCCCCACTCGTTTGGCCATTCCGGCTTGTTTTATTTCTCAAACACGCCGCCTCCTTCCTCCCTTCCTTCTTGTCTTTGAGAGAAAGAGATTTTTTGAGTGAGGCAGATACTGTATTCACAGCATTTCAGGGTTTGATTTTATGATCCCTGTTTGATGTATTTTGATCCCTAGCTGATTTGTTGTTTGAATTTGGTTATGCCTACACACATGTTGTTTAGATCAGTGTCAACTCTCAAAGGCAGGAAACCAGGGACTCTCAGCACACACATACTGTATGTCCGCTGGCCTCCAACGCACGCCTCCATTCTGTACCACGCCCGAAAGCAGTGATCAGAGCATTGGTACACATGGTCTGCACCTGACACGAACCCTCGATACCCCGTCGCGAAAATCCTCACTGCTGCTGTCATGCTGGCCCTCGCTGTGCGAGCAAAATAAGACGAATCCTGCAACAACCTGAGCTTCTTGAGCCACAACTCCCATCGCACCCACATACCATCGTTACCCAGCTAGCACCCCCCACCGGCCACGGCCACCCACACGCTTACAAGCTCGTCAAAAGGTGATTGCATCCTTGCTCGATACTACACAGCCCTTGCAACATGTTGACTTGCTGGCTCTTCAGATTGCTGCAACAGTCCATGTCGAAGAAAATAAACTTTGTAAACAACTGACCCTGCCAGCTTTTCCAATGGGGTTTTGCTATTCTGCCAACCGCACTTCCACTTTCACGCACAGCTTCGATGGACAGAATGTGTTTGAAGGCCACTGCACGCCTACAGTAAGACTGTCGAAACCCCCTCGATGGCTAGAGGTTTGATGCAAGGGGTGTGACCTTCATCGGGGTATTGCATAATTAGTCTCGCACTGCGCAAGCTGGAAGACTTATGAATGTTCCGCTGTGTGATGCTTTCATTCTGCAACCCAACGGCTGCAGAGGCTCGACGTCCGGCTGGTTGCGTATCGGCTCGTCATATTGCGAAGAAGCAATGGCAAATTGTCCGAGCATCGCATCGTCTTAGTTTGTGTTGTCAATTGTTTGATGCCAGCGCGCAGATGACGCTTGCAGATGCTCGGACGGAAAAATCCACGAAGCATGAAAGCTGTAGGCGACAGCCCAAAATACCTTTGCGACAACTGGTAGGACTGGAAGGACTGGTGGGGCCCGGCCTGCGGTCGCCTAACACTGACATGCTGGGCCACGGCTTGAACGCTGTGACTTTACGGTTTCTGCGAGAACTTTATGTCGGCTGGAATCCAGTGCCACGTGTAGGCCCTATAGCCGGAGCCTGACTGGCTTCGCTGATCTTACTTGCCCAAGTGCCTGCTCAGGCAACTTTAGCTTGTAAAGCATGTGCAAGTATCATGATACTTGTATGGTAGTGGTGATGCTGTTTGCTGGTGTCGCACAATGGCTGCACTCCAGTGTGAGCAAAACGTGTTGATTGGATGCGCTGCTGGGGCCATTTGACCACCCATTGTGGGTCTCCGTGGCATATGAGATAAACACCGTCTTTATATTGATGTCGAAACCTAATTAAGAACAAGGCGCCAGGCCGTGTGGTTGTTAACTCTGCGGGCAAGTAGAATTGAGGGCGGCAAACAGAGTTGAAAGGAGGCGGTTGAGCTGAGTCAACATGTGATTATTCATCCGCCGGCGTACCAGTAGCACCATGATGTCAGGTAGTAATTCATGACGCCCGAAAGAACAGACTTTCGCAGCACTCCTCTGCACTTCAGTACTCCAATAATGGAAACCTGACTACATCCATGCCAGCAAGGTGGAGCTGCTACTCCATGCAGAAAGTCTGGGCCTGAAAACATAGGACTACGTGCCGCAGAATAATGTTGCTGCGAAGCGCGAAACAATAAACAGTATGCCGTTGCAAATGCAACTTTGTAGAGAAACTTGCATGTCATGTCATAACCAACTGACAGAATGTGACCAGGACTGCAGGTTGGACATTTGCAGGAGAAGGTCGCTGCACAAGAACCAACAAATGGTCGATACAGGTAGCAAGCTCATCAAGAGGCACGATAACCGATCGCTGGATCTACTCCACTACGTCGAGAAGCTTCACGAATAGCGAGCCAGGAAGTCTGTTTCCTCAAATCAACTACTGCAGCAAACCTGGAATTGTCATCGGCCTTGATGGGTCCCGATGCTGCACCAAAACTATGATGAAACACTGCAGTGGCTCCAATGGGGAGCTCTCCATGCTCTCCATTTCATCTGCACTGTCATTTAGCAGCAATCATCGTGCGCACAGTTGGTCGCAACGGCGATGGCGACACGAGAGGAGGGATAGCAGCAAGACGCAAGAAGAAAGGGAGCAGGGAGCAGGAGGGCTTCGGAGTTGACTCCGGCTCCACGGCAGGGCCCGGTGTGTCCTGCCTGACCATTGGGTTGGCCAGCGTCGTCTGCCATGAGCTTTGGGGCTACGAGCAGCGGAACCAGTGGTGGCCGCTGTCGAGTTCTGGTGCCCGGGTGTTTGTGTTCGGATGTTCCTGCGTGGGGAGGATGCTTACTGATACACCGGTGTGGTGGGAGAAGTTTTCCGAAGAAGATGGACCGGGAGCTGCACGCGAGGGATGAGCGTGTCTCAATGCTGTGCTGAGCTCCGCCAGCTAGACCGCGATCGCAACCCGAATGCGGAACTACAGATTGACAAGAATTGCTCCAACGGCAGCAACGAAGGGATAGCCAATCCAAGCACCAAATTAAAGCAGTTACGTTGGCGTAGGTGTGCGTAGGTCAGCAGCCCCTGCCTGTGAAAAGTGGGATACCATTCAAACTATAGAGTCCTCGCTCCAGTGTGTTGGGCGCAAGTTCCACACCAACTACCAACTAACTCACCACCTCAATCGCTCACTCACAGTCAACCGCAATTACCGCTGGATTGCCAGTGTCGTGTGAGTAAGCAACATCCAATTTCTTCCCGGGTTCTTGCGTAAACTTCATAGCTTTCATGGACTGCAGCATTTCGATTTGACAGCTTGCTCTGGTATTCAGGGTCGAAACTGTCCTATTGGTTGCCCCCAACTACCTTCTTCTTTTCCTGCATTCGACTCTTCCTCCCTGGTAACATCATGGTACACACTTTTGTCAAAACGAAGTGCATTGCAAGGAAGCACATCACAGAGCGACATGGCAGAGCCATGGACATCTAAAACATCTAAAGCGGAGAAGCACCTCCGACGTGGCTTCTAAATGCGCTTCGGTGTGGATGGCCAACGCTTCTTGCCACCTCCAGTTCGATATCAGCGCTAGCTGCTACTTCCTTCAAACCTCCGCTATGTGCAGAATCGATGCCTGCTGCAGCAGGAGCAAGCCGATATCAGAGCCACATATGTGGCCTCGGGCAGAAGAGGATCAGTCTCCAAACAACAGCAGCTTGTGTGTAAGCGCCAGTGTTACTATACAGATTATACAGAGGTACTGATGCTTACCAACGGTTCCTGCAGAGGTTGCCAGGCTTGCGCAGATAATCAGCTCATCGGTTGCTTAAGTCATGCCCGTCGCAGCACTGAGACAGACGTGGCACAGCTACCTTAAGGCCATGTTGCGGTATCTGGCTGCAGTGCCGCACGGCGCAGCGCGCCGGTCATAGCCAGGGCCTTTGCATGAGCCACAACAGAGAGCTCCGCCAAACTCTCACAAGGCTTTGGGACAAAGGCACCTCACGCCAGTGTCCCGGGTCCTCGTTGTTCCACGCAACGATGCCTAGGAGGCGAAGCTTTTGGGCTGTTGATGCCAGAGCACACACAGACCCATGCCAATATGTTCTCCCAGAAGCAAGAACTGATGGCAGCATGGCAGGCTTCGTTGTTGACTGCCACTTTTTGTCCTAGAACGGCTTCTTACTTGTGCAGAAAAGCAACGCAGCTTACAAGCCAGCCTTAAGGAGTCAACGAGTCCTTGCATCTCTTCCAGGAGGCCTACAGCCAAAGCCCACTGGCGCCCCGCCGCGCACGCTCGCAAGGTGGAGCCTGGCGAAACGCAGCTCTACTGCATTAACTTCAGCATATCAGCTGGAGCATGCCTTATGCTTCCCGCATCGATCATGTCAACCAGTTTCTTCAACAAGTGAACTTCGCATTCGTATCCATGTCCCATGCAGCCAGGATGCCACAGAGCTGCGTTGTGGCTTCAATGCCCTGCGGACGAGGCACGGTTGCGTGTGCGCAAAGCACAACATGCTTCCACCCTCAGCGCACGGACACAGCGGCTCTGCCCCGGCCTCCTGCTTGGAGTACTTCAACCTTCAAGCCCGAGACGCAAACAAAGCACTCCCACGAAAGTGGGCACCAAAACTGAGCTCCTGGCAGTGCCAACGCCTTCGGACAAATTTCTGAAAGTCTGGGCCGAAACAAAGTGAGACTCTCCGCGGCGCCTGCGCCCAGTGCTGTCCCGCCGTGGCAATGAGCGCCGCGTAGGTCCGAGCGGTACGAGGCACCCCCCGGATCTTAGAGTCTGCAGAAGAGGTGAAGGCAAGCACACCGGGTGCCCATGGGTTCCCAAGCCCCAGACGAACATCTCGTGCAACAGGCTAAGCGCGATGTCATGCTCCTATCAGCGGAAGGTTTTTGGGCCACAGAGCTTGCAGATCACGGGAGACAAATGGCCTCCCGAGCTGTGCCAATGGCCGCGGTGAAGCTCACGGAATCTGGCTGCAGCTGGCGCTCGCCCATGCGGCCTGAATTCCAGCTCGGAAATCACTAGAATTCGAGTCGGCTACATGGACAGAAAGTCACTGGATCTGACCGTGACAACAACATCAGTGATTCGCGCAGCTACAGTCTCCCATCACATCCACGCATGCCGAGGGACACATTACCAGGTGCAGCGCCCTCTCCCAGTGTCGATCTTCACATGCCGTGATTGCAGAGTTGTAGCTGTAGAGATCAGGCCTTTGCCAGTCCAGACTCATGACATCTGTCCAGAATGGGCCATGCTGACTGCAAGTCTGGTTGCTCCGCAGTCATCTCCTCCTCAAGAAGCCACAATGCCTGCTGTGCGCTTGCCCAGTGGTCGCGGCACGAGGGGCTCTTCACATGTGGCGTCAAGCTCGCCCAAGTCCACGAATTCTAGACAACATGTTTGTTCAATAAGGCTGCCAGGCGACTGAGCCCAGACTTAATGCCTGCTTAGATACGGCAAGTGCCTACGAGGGCGCATCGTGGACAGGAGATGTCGGAGTGGACCGCGCGCTGTATGAAGGCTATTCCTCCGCCGTCTTAATGTTGCCTTCACTTCTGCTGAGTTAATCAATGTGCAGACTGCTAGCAGCACAGCTTCATCCTGCAAAGGAAATATGTATGATTTGCTGCTCGATGGTGTATCACCTAAGCTTGCTCTCGAAGGATCTTGAGTTGCCGCTTCTCCAGTTGGCTAGCGGGCCGATACATGTTCGCAGCATTTATAAACCTCTACTCCTGCCACTTCGAGCAGCCTGCGAGTGGCCTAGGTTTGGCTGAACAGCTCTCCCTATTGGGCTGTGGAGTTGGCGCGTCATTGCCAGATATTCCAGACCGAGAGTCGAGCAGGGAGGTCTTGCACTCATGAAGGGCGGCACAGATGAAGTTCTGTTAATCGTGTTGCGAACCTACTGGCAGACTTCGCACTCTCTTCATGATTCACATGTTGACTGCAAGTTAAGAGACCGATGTTGACTACCCGCTGTCACCTGAGACCTGCGAGGGTTATCAACAGCCTACAGCACCAAAGCCATGCGAACAGAATGACACGTCGCAGAAGGAGCCGAAGCTCCGACGCGATTTCCAAATTTGCTGGGCCCAGGTTGGATTCCCAGATTCCAGATTTCCAAAGAAACGGAAGCCTGGCTCCAGTAAATCTGGAAACTTAATCTTTGCAAATCTGGAAACCTGGGCCCGGCAAATCTGGATATCTGGAGTCTGGAAACCTGCAAATGAGGTCGGGGCAGCTAGCACACACACACACACACACCTATGTATGTACGTATGTATGCTTGTATTGCGTGGCATTGGCATTGGCATGGGCATGGGTATGGGTACTAGCACTGACACTGGTATTGGTACTGGCATTGGTATGGCATGGTATTGTATGTATGTAAGTAAGTATGTATGTATGTATGTATGTATGTGCGTATGTATGTGTGTATGTATGTATGTATGTACGTGTATGTGTGTATGCATGCATGCATGTATGTATGTACGTGTATCTATATATATATATATGTATATATTCATATATATATATATAAATGGTACCCCCCATGGATCTACCGTTTCTTTCTACCGTTTTGTGACTGGGTGAACCGCACCACACAGAAACGGTGGATCCTTGAGGGGAGGGGCTAGCTGATGCACCATTTTGTGTCTTGGGTGAACTCCACCCTGGCCCGATTGAGTTCTATCGGGGGCGATTGAGTTCAATCGGGGGCGATTGAGTTGAATCGGGGGCCGGATTGAAGATCGTTCATTGAAGATTTCGTGGGAAACTTTCCGCAGGAATCTTCAATCTTCAATCCGGCCGCGGATTGAGTTTAACAGCCCTGGCCCGGTACTGTAGTAGTAACGACCGTAACTAGTGATAGCCTGGTACGTAGAGGTACGTCGACATAACCGTAGTAACCGTAGTAGGATCTGTGTCCTGTGCTCCTGTTTCGTTTTGTTGTCATTAGTTGGAAAAGATAGGAAGACGGTGAGTGAGTGCACGCCTCATTCACTTCATTACACAAAACACACCACAAGAAGAGCTAAATCTAATGCAGCGAAAAAGAATGCATACACGCTTCTCTTTGTTTGGCTTGCTTCATGGCATTCCATTATATTAACTTGTTCTGTTGGTACAACGAACAATTCCGAAAGCCGAAGATGATGAAGTAAGTGCAATATGCAGTTCGCTTTTTTGCTTAACTCAGTGAAATAAAACAAGGTAACGAAGTGTACGCGTGTTGATTCCGTTGAAGAAAAAACATCCGACTATTTTTATCACCTTAAAGTACAATGGAAAAGGCCATAGTAACGTAATGAAATGAAATGAAGCGTAAAGAATGCACTTCTTCAGTTGTTTCATTGCTTGTTTTTGTCATGTGCGGCTCAATTTTGCTCACTTAAAAACCCCCCCTGTCATTACACTTGTTTTGAACTGAACCAAAGGCCACAGTATAAATCTCTAGACCGAAAGATACAAATGGAAAAGCACAAGCACTGATGAAGCAAAGGTGATGCAGTGATGAAAGTAATGTTTTGTTCCATTGTGCTTTTCTGTTTTCAATTTGCTCTGTAATCTTGTGTTCATTTCCGGAATCTCCTTCCGTTTACGCTTTCATTGATAGAATATGACAGAAAACTGGGCAATTATCTTTTCAGTTCACGGCACTCATTTGATTAATAGAGATAAAACCATGCATGTGCTCCATTTAACTTCACCCCTTTGTGTTTTGTTGTATGAAAGTGTGGTGTGAATTGTTGCTCGTTCGGTCTGTTTTGCTTGATTTAAACAAACACACGCACTTCTTCTCCTTTCGTTTGTTTGGGTTCATTAAAGCAGCGTACACACATTGATATCACATTGATTATCAAGAAACCTAGAGCTGTGTTGTAATGAAGAGAACACGAATGATTGAGGGATGGCCAAAATGATTTCTCGCAACTGCTGGCTATATTCACAGTTTCGGTGGCCAAAAGGTGGCCCAGCGGATCCAGTGTAGATACTAGGACGTGAGCACAAACTATGCACCGCGCCACAGCTGGCGGAATCCCGGAAAGCGCCTGAACGATAGAACCCCATAGTGTTTGCCACACTGGTTGGGGAATACCCAAACACGCACGTGTACTTACACATACGCATGCCCATGCCCATGCCCAAGAGATACTCATTCCCATTCCCATTTCCATACCCATACCTATACCCATACGCATACACAGATGCAGACGCCTTATATTCATGTGCAGCAAGAGAGTGGGAGAGAAAGAGCGAGAGGCCAGAGCGTTGCAGGGCACACTCTGGACAGCATTGCCTCTTGCCATCTGCCGGCGCTTGCGCACGCTGCGATCGCAGCATTCCAGGTTTGAACATCCGCACATTGCCTCGACCGTCAAGGACCATGTTAAACATGTCACACAACTTGCTCAACTCGGGTGATCCAGGGCTTCCACTTCTCGGGTACATCTTTTAGAAGCTGCAGTGCCTGAAGGCGCAGATCTTTCACAACCATCGTTCGGGTTCGCTCTAATCATGGCGTCTGCAGCAGCTACACAAGCACCCTTTGCGCCTCCTCCCATAGCCCACCAGCTCCACCTGACAGGCAAGGCAAGCTTCGCCTAACGTCTCGTGATCACCACATTCCCAGCACAGCGGCAGGCAGCCAGCGCGGCTGTCAGCAGCGCTGCATCAACAACTTCACCACGTTCGCGCGTTACCTGGTCTTACCAAAGCCAACTTGCGGGACCTGGCTGCCCACGGCCTTTGGCCTGAAACAGCTCCAGTGCTCGATGCCAGTCACCGCTGCGAACAAGAGCTGTAACGGCAGCACCTTGATTCGGCACGGCATAGTACACGTGGAAGCGTAGTAAACCGTGCTGCAGGGAAAGACAAGCAGCTGCAGACCACTGCATTGGCAGCAATGCCTGCAAAATTGCACGGACTTCTAACTTCTGAGGTGCACGAAGTGGAGCCCGCACGCACATGTGTCACGAACATCGCCAGAGCTGATGTGAAGCTCAGAAGTCGCACTTTCAGACCCGCCCGCAGCCCTCAAAGCATCACCTCGGTGACAATGTCATCGCCTTATTCTTCATTCGGGCCTTCTGTCTGCATCTCTTCAAGAAGGGCCAGCGCTGTTGCCCCGTCGCCCTCGCCCGCGGCTGCGCGCATCAAACTGCCGTAGCTGTAGGCCTCAGCAGCAATCTCCCAAACAAAACGAACCTGTGCCAGCAACAGAATCAGGCCCAACCCCATGGACTTTGATCTGCATCATTCACTTCTGCAAGTGTCTCGGTTGCAGACGTCCAAAGCCACTCTACCCGCTCGCATCTCCTGTGGCAGCAAGAGCTGAAGATGGTTTGGCAAAAGCTTCAAGTCATTCATTTCTTCCAAAATGCACCCAACTGCTCGCATAACATCCAGCTATTCTCACGGAGTGTCCTGCGAGTATGCCAGTGCGACAGAAAGCTGATCTGCTCGCCCTAAGTTGCAAGATCGTCGTATCTCGAGAAACCGCAAAGCATCAAGATCCGTATTCTTACCCAGATGCCACAGGCAGCCAAGGCCGCATTGTAGTGGAAAATGTTGACCTGTCCCGGGATCGAGCGTAGCGTGGTGATAGCGAAGAGCGAGTGAGTGAGCTGAGTGAGTGGGTGGGTGAGTGAGTGAGTAACTGAGTGAGTGAATGAGTGAGTGAGTGAGTGAGTGTGTAAAACTTCACAGTACATTCACACAGTTGCGAGCAACCGAAGTCCGTGTATTTCCCCAATCCACAACACAGCCAGGCAAACATTCCTTTATGCGACCAAGCCAGTCATGTCCGGTCTTGAGCCAAATGCCATTCGGGATTGTAGCATTCGCTAATGCATCATGTTCATTCGGCGGTACATTGGTTTGGTTACAGTTAACTTTCGGCGAGACAGACGTGGACATGCAAGCTGTCGTTGAATTTTGCATACACAGCAGCCAGCAGATTCGGCGGGACAGGCATGGACACGGAAGTCGCCGTTGAATTTTGCACACACACACACAGCAGCAGCGAGCAGATTCGGCGGGACAGGCATGGACACGCAAGTTGTCGTTTTGGATTTGGGAGGATTCTGGTCAGGATTCCGGGGATTGGGATTCCGGCCGGGAGCCTGGAATCCAGGTCCATGTCCTCAACGTGGCCAGAATCATGCCCAGAACCTTCCCGAATCCTGTCTAAAGCAAAATCCTCCCCCGCCTGTCTCAAGCAGAATCCTGCCCCGAATCCTCTCTACAGCAAACGCTCCCTAGAATCGCCCTGGCAATCCTACCCGAAATCGTAGCCAGAATCCTTCCCAAAATCGTCTCGGTCCCGGGAGGGCCGAAACGGCGAAGACTCACCAAGTACGCACTGTTAACTTGAACAGCACCTGCCCCTGACTGGCACGGAAGGACTCGACCACTTGAAGCGCATCCTGCCAAGCACCTCGGCAATGAAGCTCACTGGAAGCAACCCCCCCTGCAAGAAACAACATTGTTGTGCTTGCCTTCCGTGCCCAACTTGGAAATCTCGGCGGTGATCATTCGCGGGTCTACTGGCCTTATCCGACATGGCATGATTGAGCACGAAAGGGGGCTGTCCAAGCTCAATAATGACGTCAAGTGTACAGCAGAGTTGAATCTGCTGGAGCCCTCTTCGCACGCAGTTTGCAACGGACGGTTCCAAAATGTACTGCCAAGTAGCCTAGGTGCAGGCTCCATACTTTCGTTGTATAACAGGCTCGATGACGAGTCGGCGAAGCGTTGCTGAGGCTTTTGAGCTACCTTCTCATAATAACTTAGTCTGCAGCCGTTCGTGTCTCCTCGTTTCTCGTCCTGCGGCGGGTTCACGGAGATGCACGGAAACGTGCGGACCGAGACCCAGGCCTCGCAAAAGAGCCGGAAGTGGTGGAACATCGCCAGGGACGCCAGGGCCGGCAGGACCTACGACGCTCGACTGGTGCGCTGGTGCCCCTTCACGGAAAGGAACCTTCCGCCGTTCCGCCAGCCTGAGGCAGGAGGTGCCATGACAGCCGTCACAGATCATCGGCGCCACCAGCGTTCAAAGGACTGGTAGCACATGCGGCATGCGTGCGAAAGACTACGGAGGGAACCTATTTGGCTATGTGGTGGGAGTATTGACTTCCTGGCTGTCGGCCCTTGCGAGACAGCCAGCAAGTCGCACTACTTCAGTCTGCAAGCTGCTCCTTCATTACAAAACAGATGGGAATTCGCAACACTCGCTGCTGATGTTTCAATGACTCACTCAGTATGGTCTCTGCGAGTGGCTGACCCGTTTCGTGCTGCCGTGCTTCGAGGCACCGCCGGCCGACTCCGGTTTTTGTGGCCCTCGCGGACGATGCCAGTTGTGTCCAAGCTACGAGCCAGAGCAAGCGGCAATTGCATCAGGGTTCACAAGATTTGGAGACTATTGCAGGCAAAATGCATGCATGAAAGCTGGGTACTGCTCCAAAAAATAAAGATCTGAGGAAGTCCTGGACTCGAATAAAATGCTGAAAGACAAAGCAGAGGCCTGTGTGCAGCCCATGTTGTGAGCAAAAAGGCTGGGCTACCACGAAATGTTCGATGCCTCCTTGCAAGTTTGTGTCTTTGGACCTCACCTTGGCCATGAAGGAACGATGACACAAGGCTTGAACCGAAAGACCCAATCGAGTTGCAAAGTTGATCACATGCAGCAGAAGGCTGGAGCTCGCATGATGCAAGAAATTGCAAGAGCAAGATCGACTGTTGAAAGCCCCCCACGCATATCGGATGTGTCCCCTGGGTCTCACCATGCAGATCGGCGTAGGATCCGGAACTCCAAAGGGTCGAAGGACATTGACTCCAAAGACTTCTCCTCGGCGAGAGGAAACGCCAAATGCGACCTGCATGTTCCCACTCCGTCTGCACTTTGCGGCATCTCCGAGCGTCGAAAGGATGTCTGAGTTCCGCATCCGTCAAATCGAACTTCGGAACTGCATAGGGTGTCCTGGCACTCCACGGTGTGAGCACGGGCCAACAGCATGGCAGACCTGGCCTGATCTTCACCTGTGGCCGGCAGGCTTGTGCCAGGAATCGCCGGCAGTGCTCGACAGCCTCCACTTCAGCTTCACGAGCTCCTCTGGGAAGGGAACAAGGTTTGCACCGTTCATGAGAAGGTAAAGCAACACGATTCACCATTCATGCATCAGCGATGTTCTGCTAGCATGATTGGAGATACCATCACGATTGCAAAGTTGGCGGTTGCAAGACTCCTTTAACCATTGTCGAAACATCAAACAGCAATGTGCGACGCCCGTGCTTCCCGATCAAGGCCCAGCAAGCCTTTTTGAGGTCGAAGCCCAGCAGAAAAAGGTCGCCACGAGTACTCGTGGGCTTCTAGCAGTACACAGAAGGCACTTAAGGCCGTGAAGTCCTGTTGTGACCGGACGCTTTGCCCGAGGTATTTGAGGCGGACTGAGAACATCCACCTGCGCAGCTTGAAAAGCAAAGGCCTGAATGCATCAGACATGTTGAGTTGAGACCATCCACGACACCATCGCTTGGAAGGTGTGCCGAAATCAGAAGTGTGCCGCTTCAATGGAGCCTTGGAGAAGTTCTGCCGGAGCTCTGCCCTGGCATCCTGGCAGTGCTCGCGAAGAGCCAAGATTTTCGAGCTGAGGTGAAACGCTGCCAAGTCCTGGGAGGAGTCTGACTCCTGCAAGAGAAATAGCCGCTCCTCCAACAGTTTCGTGATGCTTCGTGGTGTCTCAGGGACGATGGCTCCCAGGTCCTGGCTCTCCAACTCCTGGATTTCCGTGATGGTCTTGTCAATCAGTTCTTCCAGTTCCGCTGTGAGGGGCATGGCATCTGCAAGGCATGGAAGGGAGGACTGAGGCGCCAAAGTGGCACCACATGTTCCGTGTGCTGCAGCGCCTTGCTGCACGACGTTTCCCGCAGCCAAACCACCATGAAACTCCTCAAGTGCGTCAAGCTGCGTTAGACTGTTTGAAGCCAGTCGACTTGCAGCAGCTGCATCGATCTGGACACAACACAGAAGTTGCACCTGACTGCTCAATTGCTCTGCCTGCCTCAGCACGTGTCACCATGAGTTCCTCCACCATGCTCCATGACTTTCTACTTGTCGAAGCATGGTGGACTCAGCTTCCGGCACACGGCCTGGCATCGTCGGACCTGGCCAGGTCATCCATGTTGAGACGGGCGACTGTCGTGGCAGAAAGCTGCAAGCCTGTTTCAGAGGCGCGCGGCATTGGGCAGCCCAGGCGCAGCTCCCCTCGGTCTCGGTGAGGTTGATCCATGGCCTGTGGCGCAGGCCGCGGAGCCTCCAGGTCCTGGGATGCACGGTACTCCGTGTTGCAAGCACGATCAAAACTCCAAGCTCTGGACATCCCGCGACGATTTTGCCGGCATTGCACAAGGTATGTGGCCCAATCAACATCCATGCAACAAGGAATACCAAGGTGACTGAAACATGCTCTAACTATTGTGTTGAAACGTTGCAAAACATTACAACACCTTTAATCTCAAAGGACAGTGGTGCATGTCACATGCCTTGTCTTGCTTCATGCGTCACCTAGTCCATCAGACAGCAAGTCAATGCATCACAAAAAGGAGACGTACCTCAGTTCTTGAATTGTGTTGCGGAACTCGCCTGCACAGCTTGCTTCTTGGATCTTGACAGGTGCAAGATAGTCGGGTCACATTAGCCTACAGCACGACTGAGAACGGCGTGCCTACTCCGGACAAGTGACATTCAGCCCTAGATGCGGGACGGATTTTGAGTTTGTCAAAGGACACAAAGCACCATGGTGTCACGCTATCCGGGTTGGAGGATGGGAGGCTTCCTCTTGGAGGCGGCTCACATTCCTGGATGCTTTGTCCAGGTGCACAAGAAATGGACAGAAGCAGAGGACAGGCCAAGGTGCCATGTAGAATCAGAACACTTACACAAAGCGTTTCTGAGCCACCGGTTCTGCAGGAAAGTCGAGCCTCTGCCCTTCCCCGCTGTCGAAGGCGCTTGCAGCCATTGGCTCTGCGGAGATATATGTAGATGTTGCGGTTGGGAAAGGTGCAACAAGCATCGAGTCTCCATAGGCAGGAAGTTCCCCTCTGTTCACAGGAAGGACCGACCTCAGATTGGAAACGAATTTCAGTTACCCTAATCTCTAACCATATCCTGCTGACGTGGCTTACTTTGACTCGTTCAGGCGGACTAGTCCGTTACCCTACGTTAGAAGTGCTCGGACAGACGGGCTCACACTTCTCTCTTTTGCGTCAGTTGCAGAAAAGCCGGAGGTCCGTGAGTGAAACACTGTCTGCCGGACGGACTCGCGGAGTCCACACCACCTTTTGGCTGCGGTCGGACCAAGAGATGATCGAGCGACATGCTTGACCCGGCAGGGGAACCGCACCAAAAGAGAATTCAAGCAACGGACAGAGAGAGTGCTAAGGAGCACAGAAGCCCGAAAAAGGCTCGGAGGAGGGAAAGAACTGCATGGACGGCGGGGCGGACATTATGGACCAATCAACGTCCACAGATTCGGAGGAGGAAAAACCAAAGGATGCTGGGTCGGCTGCACGGCTGAGACCATCAGCAACATCGTTGGAGATCCCAGGGACATGATCAACATGGACGGAGATGCGGAGGCGCTCTTGAAGCGTAAAGAAAGAGCGGAGAACGGAGCAAAGGCCATCGGCCATGGACAGGCCTTTCCAGGATGCCGACTCCGTAGCGGAGTTATCGGAGCGGAAGACTGTATGACAAGGCAGATGCGCGTCGCCCAGCAGGCGGTGAAGAAGAAGCAAGAGGGCTGCTTGTGACGCAAGTTCCCAAGTCGCAATGTAGGACTGCAAAGAGCACTCAGGCGGAAGCCACGGAAAGAGGCGGAGCATCTGCGGTTTGGTGAAGTTTGTCTGGAAAAACAGCTGCTTGCCGCACGGCAATCGGACAAAGCCGCCCATGCCCACGGAGGCGGCATCTGCACAGGCATCCGCGAAAGCGGTACACTGAA